CGTGCTACCCGCGGGCCGCGGCCGCCCAGCAGGCCATGGATTTCTCCAGGCTCATCCTTTAGCGGCTTTAACGGGCTCCGTTTCGCCATTCTCTCCCGAACGGTGTCGGGGGGTTGCGGTTGACGCTGCTCCTCGCGTTGGAGCTGCTGCGGGCCGGGCAAGTCCTGCCCATGGCAGACACGGCAGCGTTGCCTGACCGGGGCTTGTCCATAGCCAACCCAGCGCGCTGCTCCATGGCAGCCAGACGGAGCAGTGGCAGGGGGCGGGCCTGCCGAAGCAGCCTCGTTCCTTGGGAAAGGTAGCAAAGACATAGACCCGCCGACAGGGCTGGCATCGCTGAGGACAGGGGTTGTAAGAAACAGTGAAAGCCCAGAAACCCAAGATAGGATTAAATGGTGAAAGACAGCGGTCCCGCACCCACACTGGTTTGAAGGATAACAGGATCATTTCTAGGTTTGGTGCATGTACCTGCTTTGGGCGAACATTACTTGAAACAAAACCGTCCTTGTCTTGCTGTTTGTTCAGATAGTGCTTGCATAAGGTGACAACAGATACGTGAGTCGTTATTTTCTGTTTCTCATGGCAAACAGGAACTGTCAAGCAGAGAAACCACAGGCTTAAATTTCTGAGTTGACCACACTTTTCCAATTTTTCTGTGGGCATCCTGCTCAGTTCGTTCCTTTCCAGTACTGTCCACATGGAAAACTTCTCCTTTCTTACAAGGTAGCATGGGTCAGTCTCTTCTGTCCCCCCTTCTCCAATGATCTCTGCATTGGGTCTTGCGGTTTAACAGGACTGCTTAGCTGTGGTTTGAGGATCTGCTCTGTACTGGTTTTTCTTTAGCAGACAGCTGATGGAGGCCCAAGGTGATGCGTCATCAGATCTGAGCTTGTTTGTTACTGAATTGGCTAAAATGATTGGGAGTCCTCAGCCTTTCTCTCCCCCCACTCACTTTTCAGTTTAGCTTTCTTTATTTTAAGGCTACTGGTGGGGGAGGAGGAGCATTTTAGTTTTTGTCTTTGTTTCTCACCATCTAGTTGGCAACAAACATGTCCACAAGGGGAGTCTGTTTTGCCCGTGATGGTTATTGGTGAGGGATCTCCCTGTGTTTCTCTCAACCCATGAGCTTCTCTTCTTATTTCCTCCCCCTGTCCTGCTGATGAGGGGGAGTGGGAGAGGCTGGGTGGGTGTCTGGCAGCTGGTGGGCCAAGCGCAGCCCGCCCCAGCAGCTTAAAAAGATGCCCCAGATTTTGAAGCAGCAGGCTCTGTGCTTGCTCTGAAATTCACATTCTGTGCTGCCTGTTCTTTCCTAATTCTGCGATTATTGGCACAGTGATTTGTATAAACACTGCTTTGTTAAAGAAAGTCAAAACAAGAATGAGGACATTTCACTGGGGTTGGGCAGAGAAGTGGAAAGTAAGGCTTTTTGACAAATCAGGAAGAACTTTTTTTCTTCACCTACTAGCATGTGATTTAAACAGCATGGACATAGCAATATACTTAGAACTTAATAATTTTCATATGTCCCTGAGAAATTTATTTCCAGTGTTTGACTTCTAATGAATCTACAGCTATTTTTCCACAACACAGGAAGAAGAATTTAAATGGCTTTTACAAGAAGAGGTCCATGCTGTTTTGAAACAGCTGCAGGATATTTTGACGGTAAGGTTAGTTTTTTTGTGTTGTGGGTTTGTTTGCTCACCCATGTGAGGAATGGTGGTAGATTTCCCTTGGAGGAAAAAATTCTTAGTACAGGCTGTACAAAAAGGTCAATCACGCGTGTCCAGTGCTGCCCCAAGTGTTTGCTTGCCCTCTGGTTTCGAGGACTCACAATAAAGCTGATTTCCACTAGATTACCCCTAGAACCACCTTTCCCTCAATACAACCCCTTCCCTGCCAGATGTGTGAAGTGTTCAGCTGAACCAGGCAGCACCATTCCCAGTCTGAGCGTGGGCTGCTGGGCTCAGCTCTCTCCAGGCAGCCAGGTGGTGAACTGGCCCAAGGGGATTGTGTGCACCAGAGTTCACGGCTCTCCTGCTAGGTTGGTTTTCAACAGGCCCAGCCCTTTTAACGCTCTGAGGTGTTGGTGGGGGTTAGTGGGTGATGCAAGAGCAGGGGAGGTGAGGTTGCCAGAGAAGGTGGGAGTGCCGTAGTGCTGACCCAGGATGTGACTCAGTAGCAGATGACAATAACCTGCAGTTCCTGTATCTGTTTTGAAGAATTTATTGTAGTTTTAAGGGTGAAATGCAATTAAAGGACAGTCGCCAGCCAGTAGGGCTGTTTTTTGCTCCAGACTTCCTACGTGGGTAAGGGACCACCGGTGCTTGCACTGTGCAGCCTGAGGCAGTGGAGAAAGGGGCAGCACCACGGTGCCCAAAGGTGTGCAGGGCCAGGTGGTGCAGAGAGTGGCTCCTGCTGCGGGCAGCTTGGTGACCCCTCTGGGTCCCGACGCCTCACCCAGAGCTGGGACACAAAGTCGAAGTGTGAGATTTCCAATGCCTTTCACCATGAGCTGCACACACTGAGCCTTCTGGGCTATGCTTGTCCTGCAGGAGGATGAGGGAAAATCCATGTGCTCTGCTAGGAGGGTTGCAGGAGGCTTGCAAAGGTGACTGATTGCCTTCAGCCACTTGCCAGCATCTGCAGTTCTGCTCTTGCCTTGCCTTTGTTCCTGGTTTGTGGTGTGCTGGGCCCAGGCAGTCACTCCAGCACTCGGTGTCCTCTCTTGGGCAGGAGGCCTCTCACCGCTTTGTTCTGCCTGCCAGCAGCTCGGGAGGAGCCGTCAAGCAGGAGAACTTTGTGCTGAGCACAGCGGGGTAAGTGGCCGTGTCGGTCAGTGGTGGCTGCTTCTCTGCCAGGAGCTCTGAGGGGCTGCCTCCGGTCCTGCCATGCCTGTGTTTGTGCCAGAGGTTCCCTCAGTAGCAAAGGGCGCTGTTCCATGAGTGTCTGTGGTAAAGGCCTCCACAGGACCCCCAGGGTAAAGGGGTTTGCTTTAATAAGAGATTTTGCCATAAGGAAAACAAATGAACAAATGCCTACAGCAGGTTAACGTAACGGTCTGCAGCCACATTCCACAGGCTGCCCCAGCCAGGCTT